CTTGAGATATCGGTTGCGTGTTGTCTTGTTTAGAGCTTTTCACATACACAATTGTTGAATGTTGAATTGTTGTAGACCGGAAAGATACTGGGTAGAATCCAGTATTTGCCTCTTCGTTAAGCCGCGGACCAATCAGAATTAGGCATCGAAACCTTCAGTTTACTTTTCTTAATTTTGACAAATCCTTCTAGAATGTTCTAGAATAATGATGAAATCTGACGAAATGTTGCGAAACATGATGTCACGATTTCTAAGTGCGTAATAATTTATGGAAAAACACCCCGATGGACATAAAAGTTGTATATAAAAGGGATGAATTTTTAGGGAAAAAATCAGTTTCTCATCGACAAGTATCCAAGTTAGTTATCATCCGAAGTACGGGACATAAAGTGATATAAATCTGCAAGTTACATTGTTACATTCGACAAAATAGTCTGTCCGTAATTACTCGTAAACGTTGATTGGAAAAAGCAATTAAGAAGTTAGTTCGGGAAAAAGCCGAAGAAGTAGTTGTACAGTTTCGGGAAAAAGCCGAAAAAGTTGTATACAGAGGATTACCTAAAAAAGTGGTTAGTAGAACTCCGTGATTTTTGTAATTAGTTGAATTAGTTTTAGTAAAGTTCATTTTCATATACCTAGTACTCTTTTTTCTACGGTCTGGTAGTTTGAATTTTGTTACTTTTCTGGATTTTTTGTGTATAGATCATTCCAGAAATTACTTTGTATTGTGTATTGTAATATACTTTTTATATTTTATAAACTTTTTTTCTGAAAAGAAACTTCAGTTTTTAATAATAATAATTTTTTAGTCAAAAATAATTTTTCGAAAAAAAGATTTTTGAATAATTTTCAAAATAATTTTTTTTTTACAAAAAATTTATTTTTCACACATAACCCTAGAAACATATTTTATAAATAATTTTTTTTTTGTCAAACTTAGTTTTTTCTAAAAATCGTAAAACTTTTTGAATTTTTTTTACAAAAAATTTAGTCCTTCACTTTTTAGTGAAAAATATTTTTCTTCAAAATTTAATTTTCTAACTTACCTTCGGGATTAGTAAAGGATCCTTAGTTAATTTTTACCTACATACCTGGCCTAGATTAAAGAGTAATCCGGTTAGGGAGTTATTAAAGTTTGTAGATTCTCTTCAAAATTTACTGGCGCCAAACATAAATTCATTTTTTTTTTATTCGAATTAGTTTGTGTGATGTTATCCACGGTTTCCCCAGCCACGGTTTATGACGTGCGGGATATCATCTTTAAGATGGAGGAGCTCAGATGGTTCTGAGTTGCTTATAGGTCCATCTAGTCAACGTATGTCGAAATTCTTGTGAACACGAAGGTTTAGATGGGGTAAAAAATTTGTTTCCGGTAAAAAGTTGAAAATTCTGCTCTAGATATTTAAATAATAATATTTTACAACCCCCTAGACGGGCAACCAAAGAAAAACGAGGGAGGTGCTGAGTTGCTTATAGGTTCCCCTATACCTGCTATTTTTATTTTTTTATAAGCGAGGTGCAACAAACGTGAAAATGTAGTATAAATTTCCGGCCGCAATTCGGTGATCTGAGCTCCTCCATCCCAAAGATGATTTCCCACACGTCGTAAACCGTGGCTGGGGAAACTGTGGATCAATCACACAAACTCAGTGGAGATAGAACCCACCATCTACGAATTTCACGACCCGCTCTAACTGTATCGGCGTTTATGTTAAAAGGTCACATCACAAACAACTCCAACTACTCATACGAGTCCAAGTTGGTTTTTAAATAAACACGAACGTTGACAGAATGTCGACATATCTGTCGACCCTTCTCCCTTCTCATCGAGTCTTTCTCCCCACCCTCGGTTCGAGGACAAGGACAACATGGAATTAAAATCGCGGAACGCGCGGCGATTTAAATCAAAAGAAATATACAGGGTGTTTCTAAACTATGGTGCCAAATGAATATGACAGATAGAAAATGTCATTTTGAGCAAAAAGTTTCATGTAAACATAGGTCCGAAAATGCATAATAAAAAAGTTACAGGGTGATAAAGGTACAGTTTGAGAAACAATTTTTCGCAATAACTTCTACAAAAGTTAGGCAATTTAAATGAATCTTGGTGCAGTTTCTTAGACACTAAAATGCAACAATTTCGTGCAAAAACAATTTATTCCCATCGCCCAGGAGCGGAGAGCCGGGGTAGCACATAGGATTTTATTATGAAAAAAAAATTGTCCTTTGCATTTTCGGAAAATTGATCAAATTTTCTGAAAAATAAACTAATATGTCACAAAAAAGGTACTCTTGTTCAATGTCGCCAATATGAACCGTTCTCTTTAAAATTTGCAAAATTTATTGTCGTGCACCCGACAAGATAGAGGTAGCAATGGAAGTTCGTCATCATAGTAGCCATGAAATTTAAAATAACCTTTCAGTTTTCCTGTCAAAAGTTAATTGTAAGTTTTGATAGCATAAAATTTAGCTGGCGTTACTCATTAAAAGTTGTTATGGCAGAACAATACACCTTTGGAGAACTTGCAGATATGCATTTAATTTACGGAAAATGTGACTGTAATACAAGAATGGCAAGTAGATTATATGAACAAACCTATCCAAATAGGAGAATACCTTCTCGAAAATTGTTTATGTCCATCGACCGGCGCCTTAGAGAAACAGGTACTTTTAAAAAAAGTCATTATGACACTGGCCGTCCCAGAACGATCCGAACTCCAGGGGCTGAAGAGCGTGTTCTCCAACGTTTTGAAGAAGATGATACTTTAAGCACCAGAAGAATTGCTTTCGCCGAAAATATGCCACATTCCTTGGTATGGAGGATTGCTAGGGAACAACAACTGCATCCATATCATATGACTAAAGTACAAGAATTGCTTGCTGAAGATTTGCCAAAACGACTACAATTTTGCAACTGGATGTCAGAAAAGGTTCGTGTTGATGCGATGTTCGCCAAACGTATTTTGTTTACTGATGAGTGTTGTTTCACAAAAAATGGCATTTTCAATTTAAGAAATAGTCATCACTGGAATGATGAAAATCCAAATGCAACAGTTGTGCGACATTCACAATACAAAATTAAAATCAATTTATGGGCGGGAATAATTGGCAATAAACTTTTGGGTCCAATTGAACTTCCTCTAAATGTGAATGGGGAAAATTACTTACATTTTTTGAACAACGACTTTGTTGAAGTTTTGGAAGACCTTGATTTGGAAACCAGAAGAAATATGTGGCTAATGCAAGACGGGGCCCCTCCTCACTACTCTCGACAAGTAAGGCGACATTTAAATAATATTTTTGCAAATAGATGGATTGGTCGTGGATGGGATGCTCCTCAGCCATGGCCACCAAGAAGCCCAGATCTAACTCCTTTAGATTTTTTTGTTTGGGGATACGCAAAATCTAAAGTGTATGAAATTCCAATAGAAGACGAGGATCATTTAAGGCAAAGAATAACGGACACTTTCAATGAAATAAAGACGAATGAAGAAGTTTTGAATAAGCTCCCCTTTCATTTCTTAAAAAGAGTTAGAGCATGTATTAGAGCTAACGGTGATCACTTTCAACATATGCTTAAATAATTTTTTTTTGTAGTAAGTAGTTTTGTTATGTTGTAATTTAAAAATAAATGTTATTTGTTATAACAAATTTACAAACCAAATCCATACCCAGTTACCACATAAAGCATAGCCTTCTTGATTACAGCATTCTTGTTGTCGGGTGCACGACAATAAATTTTGCAAATTTTAAAGAGAACGGTTCATGTTGGCGACATTGAACAAGAGTACCTTTTTTGTGACATATTAGTTTATTTTTCAGAAAATTTGATCAATTTTCCGAAAATGCAAAGGACAATTTTTTTTTCATAATAAAATCCTATGTGCTACCCCGGCTCTCCGCTCCTGGGCGATGGGAATAAATTGTTTTTGCACGAAATTGTTGCATTTTAGTGTCTAAGAAACTGCACCAAGATTCATTTAAATTGCCTAACTTTTGTAGAAGTTATTGCGAAAAATTGTTTCTCAAACTGTACCTTTATCACCCTGTAACTTTTTTATTATGCATTTTCGGACCTATGTTTACATGAAACTTTTTGCTCAAAATGACATTTTCTATCTGTCACATTCATTTGGCACCATAGTTTAGAAACACCTTGTATATTTAAAATATTTATGGACAAGCTAGTGAGACAACTAATAAAATCGCAGAACATAAATCGATATGTTATGAATAGATTCTGTATATTAAGCCGGGTCCAGACGCTAGGTTTTCAACAACGTTTTACCTGCGCAGTTATAAAACGAGAACAAAACGGTGCAAATCAAACGCGTCCACACGGTGCAGATATATTTGCGCAGTTTTCGCGAGATCGACCATGGAAGAAGTTCTGCTCTGGTCAATTTATGCATGTTGTCTTGCAAGAAAAAAGCAAATAGAACGTTTCAAACGTATCCGGCGTTCAAAATGGTCAAGAAACTTTTCCCACGTTAGAATATTACGTGAATTGCGTGATGAACAGAATGACTGGCGAAACTATTTGAGAATGTACGTAGACACATACACTAATTTATTGGAATTAGTAAAACCGTATATTACGAAAGAAAATACTTGTATGAGAACAGCAATATAATTTCATATAATGCAATAAATTCTGTAAGAAACTCGCGGGAACATTATCGAAGGTCTGCCATTTTGCTCGAATTTACCTACTGAAATGAGTAAAACGTAGCAGAAAACGGAGCCACCGTCCACACGTAACGACTTGTCCGCGCAGTTCACGGAAAACTATGCTCTTCGCTTCAGTTTTCGCTTCGCGCGTACCGTCTCCGCGCAGTTCCGAAAACTGCACGGTTTTCCTGTCCACACGCAACGTCTTGCCTGCAACGTTTCGAACTGCGCAGGTAAAACGTTGTTGAAAACCTAGCGTCTGGACCCGGCTTTACATTAATCTCAAAATACTGTTGTCCATCCCCACTTACAAGTTATTTCTTTTTCAGCTCCCACGGAGGTCCCACTACTACAAAGGGCATTTTCTAAGGAAGACTGGGTCCTGTTGGATGCAATGGGATCAGGTCCAACCCCAGCATGTTCTGGAAAGTTTCTTACTATGCACAAAAGGCGTCGCAAAAAACTCACTACTCGATCTTTGTCGGAAGATCATGCAATACTTGATGACATTCATCATGGTCAGGTTCAGGTAAATAACCTGTCATTAGATGTTATGATTTAATTAAATCAGTTAATATAAATTTAAAATTAGTTTATCGTTACGGTTTCTAATAAAAATCATGAATTTTTATTGTACTAATTGTCATATAAACGGTCGTTTCTATTTTATTGATACACTTAAGCATAACAAAAGCAAAATTTACTATTTAATTATTACTAGATTAAATGCAAAAACTATACAGGGTGTAACTAAATAAGTGTAAAGCATTTAAGGGGGTGATTCCTCATCGAAAAAAAGATAGGATCTTTCTATAAAGAAACTTCATTAGAGCATCCCTTGTTAAGATACAGCCCCTTAAAGGGGGTACATAAAATTTGTTTAACAATTTTTTTCACAAGCACTAAACAAGTTACAATATTGAAATTAACCTGACATTTTCTACTACCAAAAAGACACTTAGCCAGTAATTTATTTGGTTTACCCCATGGTAGTAAGGGGTGGAAAACGCAACCCCTAAAATTTATTTCCAACGTAATTTTTTGTCTTATTATTTTTTTACCATTTAAAAAATTATTTCCGATAGCCTGTTTCATTCTAAAAAAAAATGTCTCTTGAATTTTTTGCCCAAATTAAACCAGTTCGCAGTAAAAAATTATTTTACGAACAACTACAGAGATACATCGTCATAAATGCGGACTGGATTTACTGTTATTTTGTAGTTACTACCTGCATTAAATGATTAAAGGGGAATAATCAAAACTAATTTAATAATAACAAAACATACAACATGTAGAAATCATAGTAAATGTTCAATATGTCTACCTTCAGACATTACGCATGCGTCTAGACGTCGGCGCATTGAGCCACGTATTCGCTCAAATATTCCTGGAGTCTCTCTAATTACCCTGCACGCATCGATAATGCGGTTTCTTAAGTCCTCTACATCGCGAACAGGAGTACGATAAACCAAATGCTGCAAATGGCCCCAAGTAGACAAATCCAGAGGATTGAGATCCGGGGATCGAGCGGGCCAATTCTGTGGTCCTCCTCGACCTATCCACTGATTTGCATATGTTTCAGTTAAATGCTGACGTGCTACTTGACTAAAATGGGCGGGAGCCCCATCATGCATAAAAACCATATCCCTTCTGACGCCCAAAGGAACTTCCTCCAGCAGTACGGGGGGATGCACTTTTCTTAAAAATTGAACGTATGCCTCACCATTTAATCGAGGAGGTAGAAAATGAGGCCCAATTAAATAATCCCCAATAACTCCGACCCACACCTTAAGAGAAAACTGTTCTTGATGGTTAGTTTCGACAATAGCGTGATGGTTTTCATCAGCCCATATGTGGTAATTATGAAAATTAATAATCTTGTCCCGAGAAAAACTACATTCGTCTGTGAATTCGATCGTCTTCAGAAAGTCACGATTTCTTCTAATCATTTCCAGCATCCAATTGCAAAATTCAAGACGGTTCGGAAAGTCTCGCGGTAACAGTGCCTGTACTCGTTGCAGATGGTAAGGGTATAAGAGATGTTCCTTTAAAATTCGAAATACCGTCATATGATCAACATTTAGCTGGAAAGCAATCTTTCTAGTACTGGTAGTAGGTTGTTCTTCTATCAAATTAAGTACTGCTGCCTCAAGCTGTGGTGTTCTTACTTCTCGATGGCGACCACAATCCTGCGTTCTTTTGTTGAATGAACCATATTCACGTAATCGTTGATGAAGTCAGACAAATATTCTATGTGAAGGATGCTGCCGTTGAGGATACATTTCAGCATATCTTGTAGAAGCTTCTAACCCATTCCCCTGCGACAGACCGTAAACGTAATGCATATCAGCCATTTCCTCATTTGTGTATGCCATTTTAATAACAAGTGAATTATTAAAGTAACAAATTAAGAACAGAACAATACACAATTAGTATTACTTCAATTTCAAAAATTTACAAACTGACAGCTTGATTCCAATTTAATTGTCAGTATCGCTAATAGCGGCCTACTAGATAAATTAGTTTCGTATTTTCGTTTTATGGCGATATGTATCTTGTTCGTAAAATAATTTTTTGCTGCGAACTGGTTTATTTTGGGCAAAAAATTCAAGAGACATTTTTTTTTAGAATGAAACAGGCTATCGGAAATAAATTTTTAAATGGTAAACAAATAATAAGACAAAAAGTTACGTTGGAAATAAATTTTAGGGGTTGCGTTTTCCACCCCTTACAACCATGGGGTAAACCAAATAAATTACTGGCTAAGTGTCTTTTTGGTAGTAGAAAATGTCAGGTTAATTTCAATATTGTAACTTGTTTAGTGCTTGTGAAAAAAATTGTTAAACAAATTTTATGTACCCCCTTTAAGGGGCTGTATCTTAACAAGGGATGCTCCAATGAAGTTTCTTTATATGAAAGATCCTATCTTTTTTTCGATGAGGAATCACCCCCTTAAATGTTTTACACTTATTTAGTTACACCCTGTATAGTGTCCCACCACGAACTCCATCGATAGATATCTGGGAAACCGCTCGAAGGATTTTTTTAAATTGTGATGGTGTGATACGGACCGTGGGGCCTACCAAGCTAAAATATTTTCAAGGTCATCGTACTTCCGGTTATACCGTAACTTTCTTATTTTAAATGGAACCCCCTGTATATTATTGCATTTTTGGAAAGAGCATCTATTTTAAACTTGAAAACATATAGCACACTCCATACTTAGGATTGTCCGTTTCCGAGATATTTTGATTTTAAAGCAAAAATTGACAGATGCAGACTGTCAGCAAAATTTAGTTTTCCCGGAAACATAGGACCTAATTTATCGAATTTGACATGAAAATATTCCAGTTTTTATACAGGGTGATCAAAAAAATATATCGAATATGAAGTTCAGAAAATGTGGAAAACTCGAAATTTTACACACTATTTTTTAGTGATAGCATATATCACCGGATTCAATTAGAGCAGCGACCCACAAGGAACTAAATAAATTTGACAATTAAAAACCTGTGACAGTTGTAATGTTGATTGTTCCTGTCACGGCCAACCTAAAATGTGCGAAACAAATCGAAACATCTTTTAAAAAAAGGGAAACGTTTATTCGTAAATAAAATGAAAACCACTGGGTTTAGGTGTGGGGAAACTTTAACAAAGTTACACTTAATTTTAGTGCAGAATGCCAATACGTTAAAAAATTAGGGGTTTCCATTTAAAAATTTCGAGTTTTCCACATTTTCTGAACTTCATATTCGATAAAATATTTTTAACCACCCTGTATAAAAACTGGAAAATGTTCTTGTCAAATTCGATAAATTACGTTTTTCTCTACAAAATGTCCAATTTGCACAAAAAAATAAACATATGTTTCCGGGAAAACTAACTGCCGAGTCTGCATTTATCAATTTTTGCTTAAAAATCAAAATATCCCGGAAACGGTCAATCCTAACTATGGAGTGTGTTATATCTTTTCAACTTCAAACTAGATGCTCTTTCCAAAAATGCAATAATATATAGGGGGTTCCATTTAAAATAAGAAAGTTACTACCGACTTTCGGTATAACCGGAAGTACGATGACCCTGAAAATATTTTAGCTTGGGCCTACAGTCCGCATCACACCATCACAATTTCAAAAAAATCCTTCAAGCGGTTTCCCAGATATCCATCGATGGAGTGGGACACCCTGTATTTGGCCTTAATTTTGCATCAGAATTTTATAAATACAGTACGTTCCAAAGGAAACTTTGAGTAAGTTAAAAATTCGTCGAGAGATCAGTTGTTATTTTTTTTACATCGGATAATATTGTGTTATGGTTCTTAATTTTAAGAAGTTTCTTAAGAACAGGTTTCGGAAAATGAACTGATTGTTTATAGTAAAGACTGGCAGTGATTTTAAGCAAAGTATATATTTATTTATTATCTCATTATTTTCTCTTAACTTGTTTGATTGGGGAAATAAAGATTTTCTTGAAATGTCCTTTTTGCAAGATGTTAAAAATCTCACAAAAACCAGTTGACTGTTATGTATAGAATAAAAATATATTTCACTGCTCTAAAGATTTTTGTGACGGATATAGGCAAGGGTGGAGGACGAATGTGACGTCACATTTGATGGCAAAATAACAATATGACATGGGAGGGAGCGTGTTTTTGGCAGAACAATCCGTAAAGTTTCAGTTATCAGTAGTACACACTGGTATTATTCCTGATACAAGAGATATGTTCTAACAAAAGTTGAAAGGGATCAGAAAAGCTTTATTTTAAAATTACACTCTTATACAGAAAGTGATTAATTATATTATACCCTGTGTTGTCTATGGTCATGCCATTTTTACAAATTTCATATTAATTTTTCCTTAATTTTGAAATTCGACATCATGTAGTTAAATACTCCCTTTTGTGAAATAAAATTCATGGTTGCTATTAAAAATAAAATAAGATCTCGGAAAGGGTATATTTGCGAAATATTTATTTTCTTAATCAACTAATAAATATAATCAGCTGTTTGTATATTTTTTGCAAATTAATTTTTCTTCATAGTGATAAACAGTATGTTAAAAAAACAAATATAGCTGCAAAAATTAAACAGTAGACTCCTCAGTCGATTGCAAAGTGGGTATTTTGTGTAAAAAAAATACTATAGCCTCGCCTGAGAAGTTACAACCCTTGAGAGACATAACACTATCATAACACAAGCTAAACTTATCAGAAGCATAATACAAGGCAATTATGATTGATTTCAACGAACGCTTTAAAAAGGACTTTAACTTCTTACGGGAGACTGGAATATTTTTTTTACATAAAACACCTCTAAGATCAACTGAAGAATTCACTATTTCATTTCCCTCACAATTTCCTAAACATGCTGTATGTTTAAATTTTAATTTGATATTAACATTCCATTTTTCAAACCTCGTAATGCCTTAAGTTAAAAAAATGAAAGTTTTGTAAAAAATAAAGAAACTTGTTTGTATCTATCAGTTGATGCGCAAATATGCAGGGTGTCACACGGTGACGGCCCATTAGAATTATTTCAGACTACTTCGATTTGAATTTTGAAAATTTGGGATACCGGGTTTTCGGGCATGCCCTTCTCAACTAAAATAATGGCGTCCACGTACCACTTCCGGTTATACCGGAAGTCGCCATCAACTTGCTTATTTTTAATGGAATACCGTATATATTATTGCAATTTTGGATTCTACGTGTTATACATAATTAAAATTGTGTATTAGTATGTATGAAGTTGATTTTTTAGAATTCTTCTTAACTTTATTCTGCTCATTGGTGAAAAATTGGGATGTCTCATTAAAAACTGTAAATGTTCTGCTTAGAATCCCAGTGCAACGTCTGTGAATAAATAATAATAAATAACTGGTGACAGTTTAGTTGTTTGTTTTGAAGTTTTGTTAAAAATTCCACAGCTATCCTCGCATGAAATTACATGATTTTAGGTTATTACACAAAAAATAGTAAAAATAAATAAGTAAATAAAATTGTGTATCAGAATATAGAAAAACATACAGGTGTTCCATTTAAAAAAAAAAACGACTTATGAAAGTTTGAAGTTCTCTCCATTTTTTTGAAAAAAAATTAAATATCGAAAACGGTTAATTTTAGGAATAAGGAAACTTCATAAAAGTCGACTTAAAATAACACGTAGAATCCAAAATTGCAATAATATATAGGGTGTTCCATTTAAAATAAACAAGTTGATGGTGACATCCGGTATAACCGTAAGTGGTACGTGGACGCAATTATTTTAATTTTTTATTTCTTCAATTATCTTCAAAATTATTTGGCCAGTTCGTTGACTAAATGTCATGTTTTTTTTTAAACAGTAATTGTTTAAGTTTCCAAAACTTGTTTGAAATTTCGAAAATTTTTAAATATATACATATCTACCTATTTATGGTATGCAATAATATTTCTATTTTATCAATTATTTCATTTTTTTACGTAGGTCTGAATTTTGTTCCATTCAAATATTAGAAGAGTAAACTACAATAAAAACAATTATAAATCATAGTCGTCGATTTTTATAATATATGAATGAAACGTACTGTAATTATTCATATTAGTTTGTTTATTGTACAGCGTGTTCCTTAATGATATGCGAATATTTAAGGGTGTGGAAAATTAATGATAGTGTGTTTTATAAACTATGGTCCAAAAATGTTCCGTTGCGAAAATACGGGGTGTTAAAATTTTAGGATAAAGAATAAAATTGATAAATATTTTCCCCCTGAAATTGAAATATCTCATTCAATGATATTTAGTACGTAGTGATAGTTAATAAAGGCGCATGATTTTCAGTACAAACATAATTTTTAGCTCTAGCAGTGGCGTGTGTACGCGCACTGACTGATAATTTTAAGGAACAAAATGGTTTTTTCCCAAATAAAATTATTTTTGAAATCCCCGTTCATTCAAAAGTTAAGAGCTCTCTTGAGTTTTTGTCATGTGATGCACCATTTTTGAGTAAACAAATAAAACCCGTTGTATTGTCCATAATTATTAATGAATGTAATTATTGAAGAATACAATTTTGCAATAAACCTAGTTGGGCAGGAATCATTAGTGACCACTTTATTGGACCATTCTTCCTGCCGGGGCGACTTGACGGACAATCTTACCGCAATTTCCTTTCCTCCAAGAACTATTGCCTTTACTGCTTGAGAATGTTCCAATAGTAATAAGAAACTAAATATGGTACATGCACGATGGTGCACCAGTACTTCTCAGTGTAATGGTTCGCAATTGTTTACGAGCTGTTTATCCAAATCGTTGGATTGGCCACGGTGGGCATCAAGAATGCTCACCAAGGTCCCCCGACATTCTTCTTCCTAGTGGTTGATCCTAATAAGTCCCATATCACCGCGGCCTAATTAGGCCTATTGTGCGTTCCACTACTAGTCCTATTCAGCAAGTAGTTTTGTCCTTTTGACAAAGACCAAAAGCTTCCTTGCTGACACTTCTCTCAGTTCCTTGGGTTCCAAATAAGATCCCCCCAGGAGCGCCATTCTACTACGTGCAAATCCCGGGCACTCGCTCAATCGGCTAAAAATTATGTTTGTATTGAAAAATATTATTAACTATCACCACGTATTAAATATCACTGACATATCTCAAGCGGTTTTGAAAGTATTAATTAATTTCCTTCTTTTTCCTAAAATTTTAACACCCCGAATTTTCGCAACGGAACATATTTGGACCATTATTGTTTATAAAGCAAACTATTATTTAATGTTCTAATTTAGAATCACACTCTTAAATATTCGCATATCATTAAAGAACACCCTGTATAATATACAGTTTAATTTTCATATAAAATTTACCTATACTGAGTTCCTGACTTTTTGTTTCAGAAAATTTTAGACCGATGCGGTAAATGGGCGTTCAATGCCTTTACTCTAGAAACTGTCGCCGGTGGTAGGTCGTTGCCGGTTCTTTGTGTTCATCTATTTCACTGGTATGGCTTGCTAGACTACTTTCAACTAGACGTCGTTCGAGTGTGGAAACTATTTAGTAAGTGTATACATACAGGGCGGCCCACAAAGAACTAGGACACCCCTTTAACGTTTTTTGAAACGCACGATTCAAATGATTTTTTATATACGACCGATTTCAAAGAGAAACACAGTTGCAAAATAGTTATTTATTGAACGGTTTAAAACAATTACTTTTATAAATGTGGAGTTTAAAAAAGTTTATGAAATCATATAGGATTTGAATTTATTTTCAATTACTAAAACCTATTTTTTATTTTCGGCATCAAAGACCGAAATTGGTTAGCGATTTTTTTATTTAAAGCCTGACCACCCTAGTGGTGGCTTAATTTGGCATAATTCTTGTTAATTTACACCCAAAAAGTATTTAGCTGATAACAGTGACAACTTACAGAAGAGTTAATTGTGACAACTGGCATGACAGCAGCACACTTAGTTTTTCTTTGATTGATTGCAATCATATACGGTGTGAGGTGAATGGTAATACATTTTATTTTTTTATTAATAAACGAAAAGTTTTAAAGGAAAATTACTAGAGAGGTAAAAGTTTCTAAAAGAACCAGTTTATCTAATGCGTATTTTTGGATATCGAGTTTTTACGAAATTTAAAAGTTATGGCAAAAAATGGCTTGAGGGGTGGTTATTTCAACCCCTTTCGAGGGGTTAAAATTTTCGAAAATTAGTTGAAAACTCGCATCTGCATTAGTAAACAACCTGTAAAAAATGTGTTATTTGTACCTCGTCCGGTTTTCAAATTACAGCCAATATTCATAATTTTTTTGGAAACTGATCGCCCATATCTCTTCAGGGGTGAACATTTTACTAAGGCGATTTTTTGCAGATCGTGTTCTTTTGAAATGTAGATTCACTGGTATCATTTATGCTACTCCATTCAAAAACACCCTGTATAAGGGTTTTAATAGATTTTTAATAAAAAATACTTAGTGATTTTCCCTGAAATAACATTTCATTTCATTCGCACGTCTCGAAAAAATTTGTAGAGTGGTATTCCAGTTCTCAGTAGGTCATTGTATATGAGAATCATTATAGCATGAACTATTGAGAATTTGTGATTGCATTATCATATGTGGCAAATTCTGCATTACACTATTCTTTAATAAATAAATAATTCTTCTTCGATTAAGAAATTTATGCACAGTACCTAAGTACCTATGTTGTACAAAGTAGGCCAATTTCGATATTTTTATGGGGTTTCATGTATTTCTTAATAAGAAAAAAAATGAAAATGATCCCAGCAAAAATTGCAGTTTTTATTATTTTTTTTTTGAGAGTTACAGCTAGTGTTAATCACTTTTGGTCGTTTATTGTGTTAAAAACATTTGATTTGATTTTTGTAAAAAGGTTTTTTATACAGTTTTTTGTACAGAAGTCGGAGGAGTAGGTATATAATATTCTTCTGTAACTTTTTAGTTACAAACTGAATATATATTTTTAACACAATCAGACTTTTATTTTTTAAATCTGCGTAAAATGTTCATTCAAATGACGTATTACACATGACATATACTATTTTATTCTGTACATATTTTTGTTCGATAATGCATCAGATAGGTATCAAAATTGCAACAGCAAAAATTGCAGTTTTTATTATTTTTTTTTGAGAGTTACAGCTAGTGTTAATCACTTTTGGTCGTTTATTGTGTTAAAAACATTTGATTTGATTTTTGTAAAAAGGTTTTTTATACAGTTTTTTGTACAGAAGTCGGAGGAGTAGGTATATAATATTCTTCTGTAACTTTTTAGTTACAAACTGAATATATATTTTTAACACAATCAGACTTTTATTTTTTAAATCTGCGTAAAATGTTCATTCAAATGACGTATTACACATGACATATACTATTTTATTCTGTACATATTTTTGTTCGATAATGCATCAGATAGGTATCAAAATTTACAGAATAAATAATCTGTAAACTTTGTAGGTATGTACATCTATGACACTATGTCTCAAGCAGATAAACAAATATCTCCTTAGAGGACATCTCCCAAGAGTGTAGAAATTGATCTACCTTGTGCAAAATACAGAAAAAAAAATGAAGAATTAGCTGCATATACATATAAACACACTTTAGCGAGGAACAATGAGTCATTTGTAGTAATTAACCAAAATTATTTTTATAGCTCTTATTGAAGAAGGATATCACAGCACAAATCCTTACCATAATTCAATTCATGCGACTGATGTAACTCAAGCAATGCATTGTTTTTTGCAGGAAGCTAAGGTGATTTTTTTTATTAGTGGTATTTAAATAAAATACCTTAAAATATTTAATTTCTGTTCAGATCAAGCAACACGTGACACCGCTGGAAGTTATGGCATCTCTGATAGGTGCAGTTGCTCATGATCTGGATCATCCTGGCGTTAATCAACATTTTCTCATCTCTACTTCAAATCATCTTGCCATTTTGTATCAAGTAAGTAAAGAGACCTGATTTAATGGAACTGAGGTAAAATTTTTTATATATATATCATTTGTAGCTATAATTTTGTTGAATTTCAATTTTGAATTCCTGATATTTACTGCTAGCTATTCGTCTAATACCAAGCAACAAGTGTCTGACTGTGAATTAGCAACATCTAGTACTAATACTGGCTATTGCTGATTCACAGATACTCGTTGCTTGTTATTCGGTAAATATAGCATGTGTGGCAGCAGCTTAATTTTTTTCCTTACATTTTTTTTTCTGAACCAAATCTTCTAATAATTGTATTCAGATTTTAGAGGATAAGTATTTTAGAACGAAATTATTCTCTTCCGCAATATAAATTTTACTCCTTTACTTACATCTAAGTAAAATCCAAAGCAAGTTTATATATATTACAAATATATAGCAAATCCTTAGCAAACCACACTAGATAATAATAGTAGAAAATTTAGTATTTAAAAATTGTACAAATATGGCTCCTTATTCGTTTTAACCTAAATAGCACAAGTTATTTTCATAATATCCCATTAATGTCCTATTCATGGCATGTATCCCGGTATATTGGTCGTATATCTTTCGGACACATCATTTACTGGGTATATTATTTTAATGTGTACTTGCCAGAATATGTGACAGCGCAACATTTGTCCTAATATGTCCCAGGCCTAGGACATCCTGATTTGTAACCAAGATATCCCTTAAAATTTATGTGGCTGTGTATTTCACCAGTGATAGTAAAGATATTTTTAGAATATGTTTGTGCTATTTGGATATTTCCAGGTCTGAAATTTATCATTCTTAAAAAATCAGCCTGTATTAAAAATGCAATTTTCTAAATTTTGGTTAGGGTTTTGGAACCAGTGAAATTTTTTATATCACATATAAGGGTGAACCTATAGCCACTCCTCAGTTTGTTCATGGAGTTCATCTCTAAAGAAGAAGAAGATCCAACTAGTATTTAGTGCATACTTTTACCAAGCTTACAATATTCTCATATTTTTCTCTTACGATGAGCTTTCAATGAAGTTCTTCCAAAGTTTCCTTAATTAGTACCTACTTTTATGAATAATGGCGTCACAACAAAACTCACTAAAATGTCCTCTGAATCTAGTTGAATTCTTTGGATCTTGCCAAAGAAATCTGCAGCATTTTCCTTGTGGTGTTCCTTTTTTTCCCACTAGGACTTTAATTTTGTAAGATGTACCAGGCAAAATGGATAAGTGACTGATCCAACTACATATACTGTTGATCCGCGGTTATTCTTGTTCACTTAAAATGAGGTTTGAATCCCAGATGTCACTTCTTTTTCAACTTTCAACCTGTTAGGTGGTTTTTGTCCTCTTGGATGCCATGTCTTATAGGTTCTTCAATTTATTTTATTGTGTCTGAGATGACATTTCCATTTTCCCGCAATTCTTTGATATCTTGGACTTCTTTTCTAGTCAGATTCGCAGGTCTGACAGTTTGCAATGCTGGTACTACCTCAGCCTCTATTTCTTCTGCTACTTGGGCGAGACAATGATAGTCCAAGACTAGTTTGGGATATTTTTTCTTTAGATGCAGTTTCTTAACCTCTTCTAATTGTTCATAACTTCTTCTGTATATAAATCTTTCTCTATGGCCATCCTCTCTACTAAATTCCAGATGCCTGTCTAATTTGCTGGTAAACTAGAAATGTAGGTACTTCTAACAGATTTTTCTCATTTCCTTCTAGCTGCTTCGTGGTGTCATCCTACCTCGTAAAAGCGAGCCAGTACTTGCTGTGTTGGTTTGTACTTGGTGTTTCCCCTTCAAGATAAGGGGACGTATGATTAATACGTCTTGACACCAGCATAACTGGTCGCACATGATGATTACATTACATTAGTTAAAAGATAATTTTACAGATTTCAAAAATTAAAAATGATGCAGTTGTATTTGCAACTAATGCTTTTAAATATCTCAAGGTCAATAAGTGATGATTGGGTTAAATACACCTAAGTCCAATGTTGCTTTATTTTTATGTCACAAGATATTTAAATTGAAATTAAAGAAAATATTTTTGTACCTGCAAAATCAATGAACCAATTATATCAAATATAACATGAAGTAATATAATATATTCCTCTATAAACATACAAAATGTCAGCTTAATATGCAGCAGTAATGTCATACTATTGACATAATCACAATGTTTGTGTACAGCTTCCTTGTTAATTATAAAATTCAACAATATTTTAATTCTTTACTTACACTCATCTCATGGGATCCACTACTTGGAATAATGTTAATTTCCAGCATATTAAAATGTTAATTGAGATACATCAAATACACAGGGTTTTAATGAACTTATGTCAAATATTTTTGCCACATGTCCGTTATGTCAAAATATACATCGATTTATGTTGAGTAAAATGTAATTTTAAAATCTGACGCCTCAACATATTGCAAGAAGCCACCTTTTGAGAACTGCTGATTTTCATAGATGTTTGATGTATCCACCATTTGCTTGCACGCAAGCTTCAGCGCGATGTATCCAATTCGCTCGCACGCGTTGCAATATTGCCACGTCCTTTCGAACTGAAACATATGCTTCATCTGTAACAAGCATTTGCGCTGTAAATTGAGGATTTCTTGCATGTTCCTGAAACAACCATTCGCAAAAACCTCGACGTAGTGGAAAATTCTCGGGAGTAAGCGCTTGCACACGTTGAATATGAAATGGGAACAAGTGAGCTTCTCGTAATGTCTGCCACACAACAGGATGCGAAATATTTACTTGCTGTGCGATATTTCTGGTACTACGGTGCGAATCTTCGACGAGATCTAAAATCATCTCGACATTTTAGATTCTTAGCGGTCACCCTGGGCCACCCGCGATCTCGACGCGGTTGTACTTCACCAAAATTGCGCTACAGCAACAAATGTTCGCGGTGCGGAGGCACGTCGTTAAGGATTTTCGTTTGCTTCGCCATAAATTATGAGCATATGGTAATATTCACGATTGCCAAATAAATGCGCAATTTTCAAAAGAAAACTTGGAAATACGGCTATTAAATGTACTCTCGAAGAACATCACAGCAATCACTACAACAATGTATTACAAACTGAGTTTTGAATACAGTCCGGCTTCATAAGAAACCTACTAACTCGTAAAAAATGTTGCAGAATTTTTTGCAAGTACTCGCCCCGATAAAAATATATATATATCAGCAGTTTCAAAACAGTTTTAAACACATTTTCTATGACCTTAAACTTCCGATACAAGTTTGTGACATCAGTTAACTCGCCCCCTTTAAATTTTTGACATAAGTTCATTAACACCCTATATTTCTAGATAATACTTATTATTGAAGAATAAATATTTTTTTAGAATATGTCGGTATTAGAAAATCATCATTGGAGATCGGCTATTGGCTGCTTACTGGAAAGTGGACTAGCTGAACAACTGCTGCCTTACAGAAGTGAACTAGAGCAACAAATACGTGATCTCATTTTAGCTACAGATATTAATAGACAACAAGAATTTTTATCCAAATTTAAGGTCAGTATATGGCACCCACATATACGTCTTATTTAATAATGAAATTTCCATTTACAGCAACATTTAGATCAGGGCAGTTTAGATTTAAGACGACCGGAACATAGACAATTCATAATGCAGATAGCACTTAAATGTGCGGATATTTCAAATCCTACACGCCCCTGGGATATCTCATATAAATGGAGCATAAAAGTCTGTGATGAATTCTTTAGACAAGGGGAGTTTGAGAGACAACTGAATCTTCCAGTCACTTCCATTTGTGATAAGCAATCGACTTCTGTTGCCAAAATTCAAGTGGGTAAGTGTATTATTCGGGAATGTACAGAAATTTGTCCGCCACTTTTTCTCCACTATTATTTGAAATAAGAATAAAAATTGTAAAAACTGGGGCCCGTCAAATGTTTTTATCCACCTTATTATTAATACCTATAAAATTTATTTTGTATTAGTAACAATAATATTTAACGGTCCTGGTATGTCCTCCTTTTATATTTAAAAGTATATTTATTCCATATTTTAGGTTTTTTCAAATTCGTTGTAACACCACTATTCTCAGAATGGCATAGATTTTTGAAAAGTCCTCTTTCGACACACATGATGAAAATTTTAGACGAAAATAGACGGCGGTGGGAGGCACAAGAAAGTGTAGAGCAGGCTGAAGAAACCCAAACTGAATTATCTGATGCTGAGGCTGAAATTAGTGAAGAAGAAGAACACACAAAGAGATCATCAGAGACTCCTAGCATACATGATTTCATTCCACCTCCTCCAAGGTAAGAGCAAAGTTATTTTTATATTTTTTTAGATAAGAATAGGTCAATATCATTGGCCTCTATAAAATTTCTGATGAAAAAATGTTTTCACATTTTGTTGATTGAACTTTTCAGGGAGATCAGAAGACAATCATTAGCTGTACCCACTTTAGAGTCATTAGGGGTAAGGCGACATTCTGTGCCAGTTAACATGGAGCAATCACTGCCAAGAACCATATACAGACGTGAAAGCCTACCAACGGGCAGGGGCATTCCATTCGGACGGTCCCCTGTGAGCCCGCAGACTGAATCAAGAGCTTCCAGTGGCCTTAGAGAGGAAGACGAATTGTTGAAGTATGGCTCTCAGTCGTCCGACGTTTCGTCTAACAGCCCTCATCATTCATCAGGTAAAACTATTTGCTGGTGTTTGTTAAATGTCGCACATATTTTATAATTTTTATATGATCATCAATGTAATTGTAACATTAAATGCAGTCAGAAAAATGTTTCAGTTAAAATGTACTTTTTATTTTGACATGATACTAAAATATATTTTCTGTTAATGAGTTTATCATACAAGCTATTTCAAGTGGCACTTATCTTCACATTAATGTAATCGCAGTTATCAAAGCGCCAATAAAATGTTTGGCCACCAAATTAATACTTTTTATTCACCGAAGTGGGGAATTATTTTTTGGCACCTAAGTAGGTTCAATAATGATTTTGCAACTGATCTTGCCACTTTAAAGTAACAAGAGAATACAGCGGGAAACCACCCCAGATTGTAGCTTGCACTCAGTCCAGGTTAGAGTCGATAATAATATTCCTGCATTCGTATCCCTGGACATTTTGGAGCAATCTGTAAACCATACTAGGCTCCATCTTTCCAGGGTATTTCACTTTCCCTCCCATTGGTTCTGATCCCCTATTGAAGTCTTAAATGGCTAATGGATGTGAAACTTTGGAACCATCTTGACAAATACTATCCACAAAGTTGGTTGTGACATAGAGCGAAAAAAGAGGCTGTTTTTTACTCTTAAATATTACAGCAAATTTTATGTATTTTCTTTTGAAAAATACTTAGTAAATGAGGACCCAAGTGATTTCCCCAGCAAAATCGTGAACAATTTTTTTTAAACAATAAAAACTGCACAAAAACGACATTTTTTTGTTTTTTTTTTATAATATCTTGAGAAATAATTATGGAATCGTCTTACTTTCAATAGGACTTTTGTAGAGAATAAAAAAACATATAAAATGGTTTTTCGTGAGACTCGATCAGTTTTTTTTACAGAGAAAATCCGGAAGCCTTTTTTTCAAAAATTTATATAGTTCTCCGCTCTCTGGTCCCCCCACTACCAATACCAAACTCTGGCTCGAGCGTACTTTCGATCGTTTCGGGCGACTTTCTACGGCATTTTTAGCATATTTCCCATCACCCAGGTGAAAATCCGAGATATACAAATTGGAGATTTTTTTTCCAGAATTTAAATCGGACTACTTTTGATAAATCGCCACGCTGTGAAAAAAGACCCTAATTTGTTTATAATGCAATTGTGCATAAATTATGCATCGGACAGAAACCATCTTGCGCACGATTGAACTACATATTATTATCGACGATTCCATCATTATTTTTGTCATTTGTCATTTTTTGCAGTTTTTATTATTTAAAAAAAAATGTTCACGACTTTCCGGGGGAAATCACTTGGGTTTTCATTTACTATTTTTCAAAAGGTAATGCATGAAATTTGCTGTAATATTTAAGTGTGCTCTATTAGTTTACCCCACAGACCACCTAGACTGGCCGTATCTAATTCCAATGCACGGGTACCAGTGAATGCAATATCCAGGGAAGTGGAGTGTGGAAGGCAATCTGATCGCGCGCATCTTTAAGCAGATCCGGATTAAGTAATATGTTTATTACATATTAAATATTATATTGCATCTTATAACAAATATTCAATTTTAAGTTTGTAATTCAGAAAATAGTATATTTTAGTGTCATATTAAATAAAACTACAAAATAATTTAAATATATTTATAATCCTCTAAATAATATTAATTTATTTAATATTTGTCTTTTCGTAGATTTTACCGAATTAAATAATTTGACTTCATGATTTATTCGTACATCGATATACTTTTCACATTCAGCCCTTACAAGTTCTATTAATGATTACAATTGTTAGGCAAATTATCAAATTGATGTTCATGCAAATTTTCAAATATGTTCACATTCAGAAAGTTTTTTAATACATGATAAACAATTTTATTTTTCTGTAGCCTAGGTGTTCTGCTTTCATCATTATTTAAAAATTTTATTAATTTTTATGTTTCTTAGCATATTACTACGACATCATGAGATGGATACGTCAAACAACCACGATCTTTAATAAAAATTAATTGACTGTACGAATACTGAATCTAAAATTAGTTTTGTTTCAGATATTTTTAATTGAAAAAAATATTTCATTAATTTTCAGCTATCTCGAAATGACGGGAATTGGTAAAATTTCATAAAAATTTAAGACTCGTAAAGTAAATAATTACTAAAAATATTTTACAGTAATTCATTCGTTATTTTATAATAACAATATCACGTTAATCACTACACTATGTGGGCGAACAAAATTATAAAGCTAACCCAGGAAACTTGTGACGTTAACCGAAAAATGGCGTACATATTTACCTTTTAGATATTCCTTTCTTTTACTTACCTAAAGAAGGAAACTTTTCGCCTCTTCACCAACTCGATCATTTCTATTTATACAATGTTTTACAATACACTTGCCCATAATAAAACGTCTAATTATCGAAATCACAGCGTTGCGTACACGTCAAATGCTAGGACACGACTGAGCGCTGGGCTTCAAATTAGGCTCCAAAGTGTTTTCACCAAAGTCGCTCTATAAGCCAGTCTAGGTGGTCTGTGGTTTACCCATACATGTTTCTATAATCCTGGAATAGGGACTACCTCTCCAGGCGTTATTACTCCTAAGTGGGTATATGCCACTAACCATGGTTCTCTTTCCACTACTATATGAAACGGTGGCAGATTTAACATGGCTTCTAACGCAGCTATCGCGGTCAATGCCATCGCCCCCGTTATACCCAAACAGGCCAATATCTGGATTTTATTCAGTTTTTCCCTCACTGTGATTTGTTGTGATTATTGTCACCATACCACGGCGCCACACAATATCCAAAGACTTACTATCGATGTATATACATGCATACTGTATGACGTCCTTGGCTTCTGTTCCCAGGTTCTACCAATAAGACGATGACGATATACACAATGTCTGCTTTGCCTTACATATCAATTTTTCTAACTATCACAGTCTAAAAGTAACACTCTCTATAACTTTAAATTTAATTCAATTTTCTGAAGAATCGCTGTGAAGTGAACATCTGAAATTTAAAGTGTAAAAAAAATCTACATCTGATGCTCGGGATTTGCTAGAACAATTCACAACGTCGCTTATTGACTCCAGATATTGATACACATTTTGAAAACGCACTATGCTTATACAGGGTTCTTCACGGTAAGTGGCCTATTATACGTTATACCAAAGACAATATGACTGAAATTTTGTTTATGGGGTTATCATATATGTTCTCAATAGCGTAGCACTTCCGGTTATACTGGAAGTAGCTGTCAACGTCGTTATTTTAAATGGAACACCCTATACAGGGTCGGAAAGTCCCCATGGTTTATCGGCCGTTATGTGAGAGTGATAAAGTAAATCATAGAAATCCGTGCGATAGAGAAGGATGGCTATAATGAAGGCGTCTCATAGTCACCGCCCGTTTCGCCCTTCCACAAATAAGATCCACTTTTACTTGTAATTCAGCGACCGGTAGTCATCTTTGTTTTCGTGTTTGGCTTTTCTTTAATAGATGTTACTACTTATACAATTTCGACTTCGGTATTCCGATATGTTAATACAATCCGTTAACAGAGGGCAATAATGCAATAATATATAGGGTGTTCCATTTAAAATAACGAAATTGACAGCTGCTTCTTATATAACCGGAAGTGCTACATTGATGGCATTATTTTCATTGAAGAGAACATATCTGATAACTCCCGTAAACAAAATTTCAGAGTCATATTGTCTTTGGTTCCTCTGAAACATATAATAGGCCACTTACCGTGAAGAACTCTGTATATGCAATTACGGTAGTGGTCACTTGCAAATTAAATTTGCAAGTTTAAACTTTTGTTTTCCCTTATTTCTCTACACTCGACCTTAAAGATAAAAAGTTAAGTGAAATTGTAAAGAATACACCTGGAGAACATTCTTATCCATTATGGTATTCTGCTCATTTTAGCCTCACTTTTAAACTTCTCCAAGCCAGAAATTACAAATATATTTAAACACGTTAAAGACCCATTTAAATATGTTGCAGTGGAAGATCAACCAGAGAGGCCTTTAAGTGCAGAGAACTTACTACCAGAACCTAGCATAACATCCATGACAAGCAGCGCAGCTGTCAGTAGACTCTCTTCAATTCTTCAAGGCAATTCTGTAGCTACAATCTCCAAATGCCTTACAAGACAACAGACATTCCCCCCTCCTCAACCGTATGTAAGAATGAGGTATATGTCTGCAACAGCTGAAATGTCGACTTGCCCTGAAACTGCACACGAAGGTATTCGAATGATGCGGAAAGATGAAGTAAAGTTCTAATCCAATATTGTATTCCTTTTACTAGGTGACAGTAGATCAAACTCATCCCATGGCTCACATGAAAACATATCAAATTCGAATAACATCCCACAGTACACCATACCATCAATAGCAGTGTTGAGTCCGAACAATGGTCGGCCACCCGATATTTTAGTGGCCGAGGCACCACTTCCACAAAAATCGTCGCTTTCAAGTAACAAGAGAGAAACGGAGTCTGCTGATAAAGAGAAAGTTTGTAAAATGGTCAAACTGTCCGAACCAGAACAAAGATATGAGAAAGAAAATGTTGACCCCAGACGGTTACCGACAACGGTAAGCCTTTAATTACCGTGAAATTGCATTTGATTTTAATTGAATTACAAAAACAAACCTTATAATTTTTATTTTATGATGAATTTGAAATGTATTGTAGAGTTTAACAAGAAGGCGAGGCTCGGCACCAGTTTCATTACCCCTATCAAAACCGGATGAAAATATACTTCCTGCTGGCGGGGGGTTAATTCCATCTGACTCACAATCCTTGAGAAGAGGATCAGTGCCAATAGAAATTGCTCATTATCGTAAGTACATTTTGTCTTTTGTGATTCTTTCTAGATTTTCTACTTTCTGGCCAAACGGGACAAAGTTTCCCCAACTTAACCACTTCTCTGTCGGTGACAATTTCAAAAATAGCAACTGCTACAGTATAATCTCAATTATTTGACGTAACGTGGACAATTTCTTATCTTGAATAACTGAAAATTAAAATAATCCAAATTTACAATTTTATTTATTTTATATTTTTTAAATCCAGAATAGAAAAAAATTTGTAGGTTAGGTACATAGATTTAGGGCATTAAAAACTAAGACGATTTTTTCATTAACTGAGAGCCCTGTTTTTGAAATACTTCAAACGAGATTTTTTATAAATCATAATTTAGCCTTATATTTTCCAAAAAACAATGTAGAGCATCGAAATTTGGTACAGGTAAGTTTTTGAGGGTGCTTTTGCATTTGCATTTTTGACCATCTACTAGAGGGCGCTAACTACGACTTTCAACAGTGACATTTCATCACAGCTTTTTTGAACTAAGGTTTTCAAATGTATGTCGTATATGAAACCACTCAAATAACACTATTTCTCAGAAAAAATGCAATGGACTATCACAAAGCTTCTACTTTGTAATATACAGACACAGACAATATAGCGTATCGCCACAGACTGCTTCTTAAATGCTGGAAATTGGCAACCCGAAATGGAAGCAGGCTTTTGTTAGTCGGCTTCCATCAATGAAATTTAGCGTGGTAACTTCTACTTGGTAATAGGCGGCAGTTCCAGCGGTGGCTTTGTTGCCAAATAATAACTGCTAAATAAATTTATTGCTTTCAATTATGTAATTAAAGAGATATGGAACTTATCTTCTGTTTGGAAATCACATTTGCCCTAAATGCTAAATAAAATAAATCAAGTTAGAATTAAAACTATGCATTTACCTAATTATTTATTTATTTTATATCACCTTGGAATGGGAAAATTCAAAAACTCGAAATTAACGTTTTTAGATTTGTGCGTCGACTTCCAATATGGTACGATATTAACACCTATGTTTAAAAAAATTGCATTACTATACACCTGTATAGTATCCATAGTATATATGTGTATCCTTAGATGGGTACTGCTCTCTTATTGCTGATTTCTTTAGATAGGTAAAATAATTATTGACACAAGTGTTGCATATCATGGATGCCATTGGTAGTGCTCATATTTGTGACAGGTGTTCAAAAAAATTAACACAATGTAAAATTGCTGGAACCTCAAGGAGTAGTTGAATACGAAATTTACTTATTTAAAAAATAACAACAAATCATCAATCAATACAGAGATAAGATAATGCGTTCGCTACTGCTGTTGCAATGTTTAACTAACTTTTTTGTTTTTCGACATACTCACTTCGGACCTCTTCCATTCAAAGCAGAACGGACAATCAGAGCCAGAGGAGTGGGGAGATTTTTTTAATTATTTTTTCGATTTAATGCACTGTTTCCGAGTTATACGGCCTTTTTACTATAACACGTCACACACCTCGTTTCCAAAATTTATTTTCGACATATGGACTTCGGACCTTTTGCATTCAACGCAGAAGGAACATACAGAGCCCGGGGGGGTACACTTTTTTATCCTATGACGTCACACACTGTTGGTCCCGATTTTTTATTTTTTTTTTTGACTTACGGGTTTTGACGTTTTTCACTCATTCACCATGGGAGATTTTTTGATACTTAGAGTCCATACTGTTTTTTTTTCTTTCATATATTGTGACACCCCGCTCTGCGTTACCCACCGAGTGCTCTACTTAGAACCAAGGGGAAATTTGTTAAAAAGGCCACGCGCTCTACCCGACGCTCCCTTCCTAGGTGTCCTGAAAATAGCAGAGAGAGTGAGAGAGAAGCCCTCTATGAAGACAGTCACTCTATCTCTCTCGCACACAATCAGACAAAAACGACAGAAACAAACCTTCTTAAAATTAAAAAAATTACAATAGGTTATTCTGATGACGAAAAATAAAACATAATTAACTGTATTATTCAAATAACAATAATGTGCAACAGTTCTTCAGGAATATTGGCAAATTTATTTTGGAGGAAGAATCCCGTCAACAACCCCGATCTCATTGTCAGTCCTTTAGACATATATTTTTTAAAGACCTGAAAATTTACAAGTATTGAAAGAAAAATACAGTACCAAATGCTTGATAATTTTGAATTTGTTTTTGAAGCAATTAATAGTAAATTAAAACATATTTTCAACTGTATCATCACAAGTACTTTGTTACGGGTTTATTTTTTTCTTACTATTTTATTTAAATTTATATTAGTCCCTATTAAAAATAGCTAGGTATTTAAGTATTTTCTATTTTAAACCCATATTATTATGGTATGGTTTAATTTGTATTTTTCCCAAAATATTTCAATTTGTTCATTAAATTATCGTCGGCAGGTAAATATAAAGTTCCCTGTCGATATACGGCCGAACCGACTTTTTCTTTCCTTTTTTCTTGGTCCCAGACATTTCTTACTTCCTCCTGGGCTTTTCGTCGCGGGAGACAAAAGAGAATTGTCGACTTAGCAGCGTGTGTTCTCGTTACAATAAATATCGCTTTTGCGGATCTTGCTTCATTTTGTGGGCAAAAATTTGTTTTGTTAGTTCTGGTGAATCCAGTGGATTTGTGCCCATAAAACCCGACAAAAGGTACCATTCACCACGAGGCCGTCCTACAACAAAGGTAAAACTTTAAATAATCTTCACTAATTTTATGTATCTCTACCTCACTGGGAAACCTACTTAGACATGCTTGTCTCTTTTTTTTAGGCCTCGTAATCATCCTCGTACTCGCACTCATCCTTGTTTCAATTTCATCTCATTATATTCGCACTCTCACCCTCAACGTCACCGTCTTCGTCGCTGTTAGTGTGCTGGGTGTTTTCCTACTTCATCCTCATATACCGGGTGATTCATTGCCAGTGGAAGGCCAAGGTATCATAACCCCGGACCTTGGTTAAACAACACAGGCTTACTCCTCGCTTTGGTTGGATTATTATCTGCTCTATCCCTATCCAAGACTCGCCTACGTAACTCCCAATTGCTGCCTGGCTTCATGTCCTTTTGTGGATGCTCTCGTATGGTTGGAGTAGTAAATCTTCACCTGCATAATCATTGGAACTTGTCACTGGTGCTGCAGAAACCGCTCAGATAAGCTTAATTTTAAGTTATGCATGTTACATAGTTAATCCCTATATGATCTGGCCTAGTCTCACATAGTATAATATATAGATTTTACGCTATCTTTTATTTGGAAATTAAGCTTAGGTGGTAGCAATTATCACCGCCTATTTTACTTATTCTATTCCGCTACCAGATAATTACTTTACTCACCTTAGTAGACATTACTACTTAGTTTTTTCCTTCTTATTTAGTTTGGCGTACCGTTAGGTAACTTATTAGTTAATTGTTTTAATAAGGTACATAAATTATTTACTTAAAATTCTTGCTGACCTTTTCCCTGTTCTTTTGTTATAGTTTATAAATTTATATTACTTCAATATAGGTAACGGCAATAATTAATGAACTTTAGGTTCACTTACAAAACTTTTGATAGTATTCATACTTTGTTTATGCTAAGCTCAACTGCCTTTGTTACTAGTTAAACGGCCTTTATTCGCTTACGCTTTACTTAATATTGTTTCCCAACAATCTAAAGAATATAAAAAAAAATATTTAATCGATTAGGCACTTAATTTGAGTTACAAGATATAAGTTTTATGTAATTTATTTCTTCGAAATTCTGTACACCGAACCAATAGCGCTATCGGAGAGGGTTATCACTATCCGTATTATTTAAACCTATAGTTAACACTATTTTGCCAAACGTACCTAAGAGGCACATAATCGGCCAATATTTACAACTAAATTGATTTAGCGATTGTAGCCTTTAGGCACCGGCCATTTAGATAAATTAAAGTTACCGTTTGTATAGTTACTTTCTTAGGGCTTTTATTTGTACTTTTTCCCGTTTTTTTTTCGTACTGTAAGGTTTCGTCGTCTCTCCTGCGTACTGTCCATCGGGTTGTAAAGCGGGTGGCGCCTTAAGATAATTATTTTCAGTTATATCAACCCACCCCCATTGCTGAGCTGAGTTAGGGCCAACCCTATAGTTGGAGAGAGCCTTATTGTCCTTGGAAAGGAAAATCTATTAAAATTCTATTTTACCACCCACAAGCGGGTAGCAACTTGCATGTTGATTTGTAAAAATTGTAGGTTTAATGTTATTTCGTTTTTAGGTATTCTCCTTATGTTGTTGTAAAGGTTAGTTATAAAAATCGTTGTTTGTTATTTTCATAAGGATGAATTTTAATTTTTTTTATTTTAAACATATATTTTATGTCAGCAAATTTTGATGTCAAATGAAATAAAGGAAAAGTCGTACTTAAAGTTTCTTTCTATCTTTAATTAATAAACCTATAAGTGGATGTCAAAATACAAAAAAAATCTGTACCTACATTCCGCGACGTACTAATAACCCACCTTGTATATTAAATAAATTTATCGTCATCAAATATTAAAAAAATTACAAGCTGTTTAAAATATTACGAATTTTGTTTATTTGGAAATATATTTTCTGCAGTATTTCAATACTAAAAAATGAAAATAGTAGGTAGCTAATTAACGAAATTATGATTAAATAACTTAATTGTAACACCGCTGCAGAATATCATATGAAACTACATAGATATTCGTTGATTCTTTAAAAACATTTTTATCAATACCTATTTCATACATTTAAGTAAATACAGTAATGCAAAAAACAGATATTGATAAAAAAGTGTACAAAAGAAATCCGTAAGTGCGCCTGGCAACATTACCAAAGTTGTTTATATGTTGCTAGGATACGCGTAGGTATGCGGGCCGCTGCATTTGATTCTTTCTAAAATTCTGCTGGTGGTGTACTCTACCGGCAATTCGGAAATTTAAAACTGATGGCCTATTCCAGTAGCGGTCTGTGGCGATAGCTATTTTGTCTGT